TTAACCATAAATCTGCCTTCCTCGTTAGAGTATTTCATTTTGAACCCTTGGCGACATTTTTATAGTTGTAAAATTACGGTAATGAAATTAGAGAGGAAGAGTATGTCTTGAATCTTTGCTAGCATATGAAAGCAATTTTAAACATAAGCAATAAGACAAGTTAGTGATCTAAGAACAGCTTTGAAATCTTGCTAAATCAGGACAGACATTTCAGAGAAAGAACACTAACAACACAAGCCTCAAATTAAATGTCATTTTAATATTACACTGGACTAAATTTTAACTGTTCTTAAATAAGATAAATAGCAGTAAAAAACATATTAACTGCCAAAAAATAAGATAAGATAATTCTAGGAGAAAAGCAACACGTGGTTTTAGTAGCATGTGTGCAGAACCAACTTATCAGGAAAGTAAAAATAAAATTGATCATTGTCTGATTAATCATGTATGGTATTTCTGCATAGGAGAATATTACAGTCATCAGAGCTCTTATGAACTACTTTAAAAGTATCCAAGTATTTTTCAAATTTAAATACTGATAATAGTCATCCCTTAATTTGATTAACTGTACAGCAATATGTAAATATACCTTTGGTCATGAGGAAGTAAGACTGAAACATAAATGTCACAGTGCAAATATTCTATGTCACAAATATAAATGATTTGTATTTTCTTCTGTAGATCTCTCTGGATGCTCTGTGACTTGCTGGTGAAAGGATTTTGTCAAGTACCTCAGTAAGTCTTAGCTGTAGTAAGAACAAGAATTCCAATCAAAGGCTTTGCTAGTCTGACTGCAAACACTCCTTAAAGCTTCTTCAGTCTCTAGTCACAGCCAAAAGAACAGCTCCTCTCTCACCAAACTGGAAGCCTAGTCACAGATGTAAAAGTCTGAGAAATTGAGTAGCTCTGTAGACACTCTTACGTTCCTTCCCCAGATCTTTTCCACAAAAATAACTATTTAAATCTAAGTTTTAAATATGTGTAGAATGTATATTATATGTTTGTATAATGTTTATATTATCTCAAACTTTTTTCTGGTACATTCTATGTGTATGGTGGGAAGTGGTGGTGTACTCCTTTAATTCCAGCACTTGGGAGGCAGAGGCAGGTGGATCTTGGTAAGTTTGAGGCAGCCTCAAGATCCAAGACAGTCAGAGCTACACAGAGAAACCCTGTCTCGAAAAACAAAAAGCAAAGCAAAATAAACAAAACTAAAAAGGATAAAATCTACCAAGTATTGCTTCAAGGTAATAAGTTTTAGAAATATGTAACACATTTTTCAGCTAATAAACACTTCCATATTGACCGTTTTCTATGGAAATCAGAGAATATTTGGATTCCTAACTGTCACAGTCACCCCATCAACAAGTTATTTTTCTTTCAGAGATCACTATTTCACATCTTGATCTTAAATTAAATTTCAGTGGTGTAGAAAAAAAGACACCCACTTTTTGTTCTTAGTTCTATGGCACTGCCATGCTCAGGGGACCGCTTCCTGTGCCCACTCCAACACCTAGTAAGATAACTTCCCTTCCCTCAAACACACCACATATATTTACCTGATGAGAGATGATCTGGATACCATCCTACTAGTTTCTAACATAATTCCTACAGTTTTCACTTGGAGTTGATCATCTACATAACGATGGCATCTTAGAATATTAGAGCAACACAGTGCTGTAGTAAACAATTTTTACAATATTACAGTATTTCTTTTATCTTTTGAGATAACAATATAATTACATCATTTTTCCCTTCCCTTTTCTCCTTCCAAACTTTTTCATATACACTTCAATCTTTGTAAAATTAATTTATGGCCTCTTTTTTCATTAATTGTTGTTGCATACATATATTTATATTCCTAAACGTGCAAGTACAACATGACCATTCTGTAAAATGCTAAATGTTTATATGTGTTTCCATTGCTGAACATTGAATAAACAATGTAGCCACATTCCATGAAACTATTTTTAATAATAGTTTAATAATCCTTTGAGAATGTAATATAACATATTTTGATCATATTAACCCCAACTCTTCCCAGATCCACTCTCACACCATACCTACCCAACATTGTGTTCATTTTTTTTACTTTTCAAAAACCATTCAGTTCAGTATGTGTAACCTAAATATTCCTGGGGGCAGGGTTTGCCTTGGAGAGAGCTGTCCACCTATCAAGAGTCATACCCTTTAAGGAAATTGAATTTCCTTCCGTAGGAGGCTATAATTTACCAATAGCTCCCTAGCCAAGAGTGGGCACTTCTTGCCCACCTCACCACGGTGTGTGGTGTCATCCATAGGCTAGTGGTCCAGGATTCTAGAAGAAAGCAGGCTAAGCAAGCCATAGGAAGCAAGGTAGTAAGCAGCCCCCCTCCATGACCTCCTGCCTCCAGGATCCTGCCTGGTTTGGGTTCCTGCCCTGACTTCCTTCAGGAATGGACTATAGACATGGAAGTATAAGTCAAATAAACCCTTTCTTCCCCAACTTGCTTTTTGGTCAGGAAAATAAACATCTCCTGTTTTCTCTCATATGTGGATAGTAGATTGAAAACTTTAGATATGTACATTTCATTTGGACTAGCCATAGAAACTAGAAAAACAGTGGGAGAAAGAGATCGGGAATACAGTGATAAAGAGGGAAAGAGAATAATGGGACAGAACTAACTAAACACGGTGAGAAAGAGGAGAGCAGGGCAGATGAGGAAATATGGGGAGGGATAACTAATACTAAAGTGCACTAACTTTGAAGGACAAAGATGGAGACACCTCAGCAAGCCTGAGACACTTTTCTAATCCCAGAGGAAAGCAACACTATTTTAATTTAAAAAAAAAATCCAATAACCAATGATGCTCACTACGAAAGGCTATCTTATTAACATGTTTTTTACTTCTAATTTATTATATTCACAGGTAAAAGTATTTCTAACTCAGAAAGCCAACAAAACATTCAGCTGTTCTCACAAATGCACAAGTTTGAGTCAACATTACAACTACTACAAATTAATGACAAGTGGCTTACAGACACACATATATATACATACATATATATATACATAATTTAACAAGAAGCATATTTCATGTTTTATATTAATGTTTCCAAATAATGATAGCTTTCCTAAATTTAAAAACCATAAGAAACTTATATCAATTATGGTAAACATATAGTAATTATTTTGGCTTACTAACAGGTTCAATATATTCAAAATATTTTGAGATTAAAAGCAAGGCACATTTCAAACTCTTTAATTATAAACAGTATCATGAAATAAATTTGAAGGATACAGATTCAAATCTAAACAATTATGTCTATAACTTATTCTCAAATGGGTCATTAAAAATAATAGGGAAGACAAAAAGAGAAGGCATGAGGAGAGAGAGGATGTAACTGATGACTCTGGGGATGCACACACAGCAGCTCACTGTACTATGGAACTCTCTGTAAATTTTGATTTTTAGTGAAAATTTTCAAAAATTCGTAGAAAGCAATTAGAAAATGCATATTGTATTAGTTTTTCACAGAGAAAAAGCTAACCTTGTTAGAGTACACAAAAAATATGCGCCCCTTTAAACTTTAGCTTTGAAACTAGGATAAAAGAGACTCTATTAAAACTCTAAACCTCCAAATCCATTCCACTATCTAAACAATCTTCTTCAGCTAAAACTTCCAACATATGGACAAGTTGTGGCATTGCATGTCTTCAATTCCAACACTCAGGAGGCAGAAGCAGGCTCATTGTGAGTTTGAAGCCAGCCTATTCTACATAAGGAGTTCCATATCATACAAGGCTTGTGGGGGAGGGGGATCAACCTATACTTTGAAACATCAGGTTCTTTTGGGAAAAACATAAGTTTTAAGTAATATTATTACCAAGAATAAAAAAGTGATCTCTCAGTGAAAAGGACATATATTCTAAAATAGTTATCCATTTTGATTTGAATAAAGAAAAAGTTATTCAGCTCCAACATTTGTTTTATTAAACAATAGAACTCACTATATAGCAGAGACTAACCTCAAATTTGCAACCATCCTGCTTCTGCTTCGAGTACTGCTAATACAGACATGTACTACATGTCTCTCAGTGACTGACAAATAGAGCTCAGTAGGAGAAGCCACACGCTTTATACCAAGGTGCTCTGGTTTGAATGACATGTCCCCCATGGTTCAGGCGTTTGAACACTTCATCTCCAGTAGGTGCCTGTCTTAGTAGTTTCAGAAGGGATGGCCTTGCTGGAGAAAGTATTTCACTAATCCACCAGCTTTCATAGTTAAAAGTGCTGACACCATTCTGAGTTGGCTCTCTTATTTCCTGATTATGGTTTGAAATGTGAACTTTCAGCTGTTTCTGCCATCATACCTGCTGCCTGCGGCCATGTTCCCTGCCATGAGGATGATGAGCTCTTATCCTCATATCAAAACCATAAGCACAAGATAAACCACAGCAATAGAAAAGTAATAATATAAAAGGCTTCTTTTATATGTTCATCTGAAAATGGAATACTATTTTTCTATAATCATTTCTATTGAGTCTAGAATTGACAATTTCTATAATATATGTACATATGTACGTATGTATATATGAGTAAAGAATTCTACCTTTTTTATAGGCTATATCCAGATTCTTTGTTCACCAAGACATCTTATAGGAACTCTGAGTTTAAACACTTCTTTTTCAACTACCAACAAATCACAGTCCTTTGCAGGAGGGGACTATGAAATCTAGCAAGATCATCACATAACTAAAGCCCTATTTATTTCCAACTTATTGTTTCCACTGGGACAGGTAGGAGCTGCAATTAGCAGATATCTCCATTTCTCAAAAAAAATAGGAATATAAATTTTATTTAAAAAGTCCCTAAAGCACAGAAGGTTAACAACATCTTTTAAACTTTTTAAAATTATAAAAAGTTACTTTATTTGGATTTTTTGAAATCCCAAGCATGATAACACAAAAAAGCAAGATACTTTATTTTATAGTCAAGTTTTGATTATAATTACTCACCTAAGAATACATAAACAAATTCTGCCTCCTGATGTGAGTCTGCAGAACCCAAATCTCTGCTTACTTTCAATGTCTGTCAGTACGAAGGTAAAGTGCTGTCCAACTTGATTCTGAGATGCCCTAAGATAAAACAACATCACAGCATTGATGATTTTCTTGAAGATAAAAAAGCTTGACTAGTATTTACATTGGCTTCACCCTCCCAATACTGGGTTCTAGAATCTGGCATGAGGATAACGAAAGGTGCATGAATCTATACTCAACTCAATCAACTCATGAGTCATAAGTCCAGCATCACAGTAAGTTCTAATGGCTCATGGTTGGAGCAGATCAACAAATCAAATGCCTCACTCGGAAGTGAAGGCTCATCTTACATTTTCAGAAGAGTAAGTTATCCATAAAATACATCATGAAGTTGGAGCCATGGTTACTCGCTCTGCAGAAAAATCAATAAATTTAGTCTCTACACTCATCTCTAGCATCTCTCTCATCTAAGGTATTCTTTTCCCAAATTGTAAATGCTTGGAAAGCAAATCATATTGCTTCATTGTCTGATGGTGACCACCATCATGTTGAATTGTTTCTTCTGTTGACATTCTTACCCAATGTAGTACCATCTCAACAAGCACGACTGGTATTTTTCTTAGCATTATCTTTTAGAACTATCAATACACTACAGAATCAAACACCAACTCAAAAGAATACACTTCCTACTAAAGAAGCCTATCTGAGTTTTACCTGATTTTGAAATAAATAGGTTAGAACTCAATAGCATGTACCACTTCTGCATAAGAGATGATATAAGTCACTAGACAAATGTTTATCTCTGCTTAAAATTCATCAACACACTTCCAGATACTGGCTCATAAAACCAGAATAGAACTCAAAGTTCTTTGTCCCAAAATAAAATACTGACAACATATAAATTTGGTTTTAAAACAGACATATGGATTTTTAAAAGCTGAAAAGTTACTGCTAGTATTCTAAAACTGCAAATTATTTGTCACAAAATGCCAGCTACTAAACCAGTACAAATCTAAATGGACAGGGAATTTCATAAACTTCAAATAAATCCTCTAGTGATTAACATATGTCCTAGTGTTCAAGATAACCTCTTGTAGTTTTTCTTCCTTTATTTTGTTCTTACTATTGATTTAATACTATAATTTTGACGTAAGACAGAAGAACTAATACTCCAGAAAAAAGGTAAGAAAATATTTTTTCATTAGCAATATTTATTAGTAGTAACTAGCATATACTATTAGATCACTTTACAGTCTATACACTAAAATTTCAATCTCAGTCCCACTAATCCTTGGCAAAATGTCTCCCTAAAATAAATTGTCTTTTAAAAATTTTGTATATAACACTCAAATAAAACTAATAATAGTGATAAATCACATGAAATACAATAAATGTCACTATGTCCAGAGATATCTTATCTATTTATTATACTAAATTCCAACTACAAACAAAAAGTTCACTTAGTATTTGCAGTGAAATAGAAACACAATGAAATTGTCAAAGCTACTGGGGAAGTTTCCTACAGCTGCCGCAGTAACACCCTGTTCTATGTTGCTGTTCTTGGGAGACAACTGAGTTCACAACATCACACAGAAGCTTTTCCAATTAGGGTGAACTGGCAATAAAAGCAGGGTACAGACATCTAGTTTTAAAACACTATCTGAAGGCCCTGATCAATGACATTTTTTTTCTGCTAGTTCTTATAATCTATACCTGAAGAACAAAAAAAAGAAATATAATCTGTGGTCAACATTGCTTTAAGACCTCCTCACTGGCCATGGCAGAGGAAGGAAAAGACTAATCTGAAAGACAATATCTAACTATCTAATTCTGAACCTCTCCTCTTCAGTGTGTGAACAGAAACCAATGAAGGTATGTGTCATTTTCTTACCATGTGTGCAATAAAAGCAAAAAGTCATCTTAATTATGAACTTATACTGTACCTTTCCACATCAAAGGGAAAACAGAACTTGGGCACGCTCTGCAGTACTTCCTACAAATGCAAATTCAAAAAGAGAATGCTTTAGAATGTTTTTTAAATGCAGTTAAAACTTTTTGAGACATTTTCAAGGAGTGGATGAAGTATTTTTAAGACAAAGACACAGGTTCTCAGACTGCAATAATTGATTATTAAAAAGGAATTAAGTGTGTGCTTTGGCAGATTGCACTGACAATGCCCGGAAGCCCCAGGAGGGAAAGGCCTGGCCTGAAGGGTATTAACACCCTTGGCATCCCCGCTGGGATCCCCTTCAACAAGGCCATATGGATCTCACAAGAAGCACTGCACCATATGGGCAAGCTGTGTCTGCTGCTACTTGTACCACAGGCTAGCCACAGGGACTTTTCACAGATTCTGGCTCAAAAATATAAACGTTGTTTCAATTAAAATGCAGGCAGAGAAAAGGAAATGGAGTTGGCAGCGGAATGAATTACTGAGAAGTATAACAACTCTGCATGTCCCAAACTCAAATGTTTTCTTAATTAAAAACTTTGTATAGATTCTAAAATATACATTTGCATGTTTAAACACTTTCTACTATATTTATCCCAAATAGTCCTCTTAAATATGTATCTTAAAATAAGTATCTATTAAAATATTGATAAATAGTAATATATTAAATATTAAAAATGAATGTTTTATGAAAATAGACACAATCTCATTAAAAATCTAGAGATATTTATTAAATTACAACAAAATGCAAACAATTATTAGATAGTAGGAAAAATAAGAAAAAAATTTCTTCGATGTATCTGAACAACACATTAAAATTTAATTTTGAATCTAAAATTCCATCTATAATTACAGGCATCATAAAAATTAAAGTCAAATGATCTCATAAAGGAGCAGAAACTAAAAACAATGCCTGTTAAGAAACAAAGGAGAAAGTATCTTAACAAAGCAGTCACTTCCACAATTACATTTTACCAGTAAAATCAGTCAGATCCAACAACATAAACCTTCTATAGAAATACACTAGGTATTTTTAAGTGAATTTCTTATTTTAAATATATATATATATATACAGCAATTATCAGTTTAAAATAGTAGAAATCCAATAGCAATACCTAAGAAAGCTTCAAGAGAACTAACCCACAGAAGCATAAAGAAAAGCTCTATATTAAGGGGAAAAAAGCATCCTAGCCTTAGGGCAAATATGCAAGCTTGTTATCAATGTACCATTAAAAAAGTTTTAGCACAGGCCCGTGTGTAGAGAAAGTTACCTTACTCTTTATAATATTTTGCTAAATGAAATTAAAGAAGTCATTAGACATGAAATAAATGACTGAAAACAGCTTACTACCAATAAGGACAGTTGTTTTCATTTGACTATTGCTTAATTGTTATCTTGTGTCATATAACAGGAAGTCATTTACCGTATGTACTACACCTATAAAGAGTCGTATGATAAACTCTTGCAAAATTACCCACATAAACCATAAACAATAAAAAAACATTCAAAGTCGTTGTCTACCTCTGAGTATATGTAAATTAGCTGTATATTTCACATAAATTTTAATGCTCAAATTAAGAAGGAAGCCTCTCACTTCGTTGCTTAATCTTTCACAAACACCCCCTCTTTTCCATAAGCAACATGCATGCAACACACTTCTGCAGAACAGCCTCAGCTCGCTTCCCAACTGGCAGCAGCATCCCTCAGGGGACAAGTCTTTAAACCTCTTCACTCTTTAATATTCAACCAGCCAGCAGGTCTACAGACGAGTGTATAAACAGTATAGGGGAAAGCTCCTCTCAGCTTATGTCAGTGACAGAGTGGTTATGCTGCTGCCTATTCTGCCCTGGCAGTGAAAGCAGGGGGCACAAAGACCAATAGCTGAAGTCCTCCGAGCTCCTAGGACTTAGTGTCTTCATTAATTGTAGGTGCAATATAAACTAAGATGACTTTAAACAGAAAAGGGTGAAAAGAGGGAAAAGCATTCAGATAGCTCTTGCTCTCTGAGTCACTTTATAATAGTGATAAATGAAAATATGTCTATGTATATTAGAACTAAGTGTGAGGTTGTATATTCGCATTCTCTCTCACACACAGCTCCTTCTAGACATGTATTCACAGGTTAGTTAGATTTGCCACTCTGCTGACCACAATTTGGGTATTTCTACAGAAACTTTCTTAACCAAGAAAATTTGAGTTTCAGAATATTTCGGGAGGCAGAGGCAGGTGGATCTCTGTGAGTTCGAGACCAGCCTGGTCCACAGAGCTAGTTCCAGGACAGGCTCCAAAGCCACAGAGAAACCCTGTCTCGAAAAAACCAAAAAAAAAAAAAAAAAAAAAAAAAAAAAAAAAAAATATTTCTAATTAAAATAGGTTATTCTCACACAAAAGCATCATAATTGCTAACATATGTCAAAGATAAAATCAAAATAACCAACAGAATGAACTAGAATATAAAATTTTCCAGAACAAAGTACCAATGGGCAATAACATACATTTTATACATGTTCCAAAATAAGACATCTAATTATCATATTAATGACTGGAAATAACTCATGGAAACATCTTTCTTGGGTGTTTGTCCCACAGAATGTAGCTCACCTATAGCAGTGATTCTCAACCTTTTCTAAAATATAGCTCCTCATGTTGTGGTGATTACAAACCATAAAATTATTTTTGTTGCTACTTCATCACTAATTTTGCTGCTGTTATGAATTGTAATGTAAATGTCTGATATGCACAATATCTGATATGCAACCCCGTGAAAGGGTCATTTGACCCAAAGGGGTCGTGACTCATGAGTTAAGAACTGACCTACAGGCTTGCAAAGAAGCCATCTTTGTGAGAGAGAAGAGTAAATGCTAGTATCGGATGGACAGTCTGCTCAGCCCAGGAAGCTCCATGCAGCATCTAAGATGAAACAGGCCTTTAAGAAACAATCTACTTATTGTCGTTGTTGTTTTGTTTTTTGAGACAGGGTTTCTCTGCAGCTTTGAAGTCTGTCCTGGAACTAACTCTTGTAAACCAGGCTAGCCTCGAACTCACAGAGATCTGCCTGCCTCTGCCTCCTGACTACTGGGATTAAAGGTGTGCACCACCACTGCCCGGCAAGAAACAATCGACTTTTAAAAAATCTAAAATCCACAATGACAACGGTCTTAGAACTGTTTTAGAAAGACTATAAGATGAAACACATCACTTCTGCAACCTATTTCCCCTTCCACTTTCCCCAGCACTTCCTCCTGAGCAAATGCAAGAGCTTACTGAAGCTCCACACTTCCCTCTTTCCTGTTCTGCATAGAAAATCTAATATATACACCATGACTTCAACTTTATGTATTCTAACTTCTTACAGCTTAGGCAGTTTTATGAAGTCCACAGTTCATTCTCTCTCTCCCTCTCTCTCTTTCTCTCTCCCTCCCTCCCTCCCCCTTCTCTCTCTATACACACACACACACACACACACACACACACACACACACACATATTTACTTTACCACATCACTTTCGGAACAGACCAACACCTCACACTTAGGATGTTTACAACTGAAGTTACAGTGACACCATCCTCTCCAAAGACACAAAACCCAAAAATATGGCAATCATTTATATCCTTCCCCTGAGACTCTCATATATAATCAATCATTCACCAAGATCATTAATTAAATTTCATAATTATCTTGCTTTCCATAGCTGCATTTGACAAAGTGCCTCTTTCAGTAAACCTCCAAGCCTCCACTCCTGAGACTTTAGATTTTATCTAGCAGGAGCAGAAATAGCCTCAACTGGAAGAGATGCAGGATGGAATGGTTGGGTCTCCTCTGACAGTCAGCACACCCAATCTTGAAGCTTTCCTGTGGATAATCACTGCTCCTCCAATAAACAGTGTAATAAGTGAGCCTAGAGCAGAGTTCAACAGCAGGTTGCAAGATAATAAAGAACAGCTGAACTCCCAAAAGCAGAGATGATGTAGATTCAGTGAGGGACTATTAACTCAGCATCTCCCTCCAGGAATCAGCATTGTCTTTCCTGGTCTACTCTAAACTGACTTTTGTCCTTTCCATGCAGTCGTGGCAGGAGCCATGAGCATTCAGCACATTACACAAGGACACAGCAGCAGTAGCCAGTACCCAGTGAAGAAAGCATCTCAAGTCTCACTTTTCCATAAGCCCACCACGTGGTATCGAGTTAGGCCCAAAGCCACAGCCCCCTTCCGAATTAATCATGCAAGGTAGACAGCTATCTATGAGGCTCACCACAGACAAGCTAAGAACAACCAGAATCCAGACTCATTTGCTTTCAAATAAAATCTTAACACAAGTAATTACAAAGATTTTAGTGAACTAAATGTTCTCCACAATAATAGTACACAAATAATAAATTCACACTAAAGTTTTAATGTACATGTAAACACAGTATTAAATGAGAATAGTTCTCAAATATCATAATTGTATTTTATTTAAAAAGAAAAAACTTCCAGAATCATCTTTACAACAAAGTTCTACCTAGCAATTTTAATTCAAACTTTTCAAAAATGGCAGTTTTCTAAAGATAATATTTGAATATAATCTAGGGCAAATAAGAAATAATAAAATGTAGGCATTCGATCTACCTGTGCTTTATAAAAGGGAGCAATAAATTCTACCAAAATTTAAAAAAAAAAAATCAAGCACTACTCAGCCGCAATAGTTTGGGTAACAGAACTGAGCTCAAGCCCCACAATGTGCACTGAGATGTGGCAGGGCATCTCCGAGACGGCGAGAGAAACTGTGGGTCACACTCCATCCTCCATCCTCCGAGGGCAGACAGGCACACACGACCTGGGGACTCAGTCAGGGCTATACCTTATTACGGAAGAGGCTATAGGAAATTACAGAGAGCCTCAGAGTCTTAAAGAAGTGTTTTCAACATACAGATTCTATTTAAAACTTGAGAAAAATATAAAAAGCAGGATAACTGAGCCCAGTATGATATTTTTCCTCTTGGTTTTCACTTTTTTTTTTCTGTTTGGCTATTTTAATTAGAAATATTAAACTCATAT